TGATTACTGTTTTTATTTGTATAGATTTGCCTATCCAAACACATTCCCAGCGATATCTCATTGTATCCCCGTGAGATAGGTAGGACAAGCCCTCACTGTACACAGAGGCCAAGGGACTGAGTCAGGACTGCACAGCAATTTAGAGACAGCTGCCCTCATATCTGAGACCAGAACTGTTTCCATTAAACCATGCTTCTTACACAGAGCACACGAGAAGGAATGGTCAGTTGAGTTATCATTGTCCTGAAGCTGAGAGAAGTGAAGCAGCTAAAGTGACTTCTGATCCCACCTGAGAGGTTGGTGACAGAGCTGGATGAGGGCGCCTGTCTCAGGGTCCCACAGGTAGACAGAGATCGATGGTCTTAGGGGTGGATGCTGAGACCCTTCCTCCTGCTGTCCTGCCCACTCACGGAGGTAACTTTCCAAGGTCACGAGGCTGACTCAGAGCTGGGACTCAAGCAAAGGCTATCTGACCCCAGTCTGCTATGCTTGGACAGTAGTGGACTGGACATCCAGGGTGCAGGCCTCATGTGGGACAGCCCCAGCAACTGTTGAGAATGACAGGCAGAGGCCGGGCCTGGAGGGACGGACCCAGGAAAGGACATGATCAGTGGTCAAGGGTCAAAGCAGGACAGACTACCGGGTCAAAGCAGGACATCCTCTTCTCATGAATCTTCCTGGGGTTTCTGAGACATTGCACAAGTCAAGCTCCAGCCAAAGACACAACCTTTATTCCTAAACAAAAAACCAAAGATCGTTACCCCTTTGTCTCTCCACATGTACCTTCCACTAAGGGTCTCACCCAGACCAACCTGGTTATGAATATCTATGCTTTGGCAAGTGTGTATCAGTCAGCTTGGGTTGCCATAACATTCTGTTGAGCTTAAACAACAGAAATGTATTTCTCACAGTTCTGGAGGCTGGGAAGTTCAAGATCAAGGTGCCAGCATAATCAGGTCCTGGTGAGGGCACTCATGATGGCTTACAGAAGGCCACCTTCTCACCCTGTCCTCACATGACAGAGAGAGAGAGAGAGACAGCAAGCTCTCTGGTGTCTCTTCCTATTAGTAAGCTCTCTAAAGTCCCCACCCTCATGACCTCATCTAACCCCATTTACCTCCCAAAGGCCCCACCTCCAAATACCATTACACTGGGGGTTTGGGCTTCAACATATGAATTTGGAGGAGATGCAAACATTCAGACCATAACAAAGGGGAAAAGCAAATGCAAGCCCTGTGCTGTTGTGGGGCCCATAGTTCGAAATCCAGCTCTTAAAGCAGGAGAGAAATGGAGAATAAATGCAAGGCCTGAGGAATGACATGAGAACTGGCAGTCTGCATTGAGGCGAGGATTGTTCCACTGAAACCCGGGCCTTGGGTGCCCACAAGGAAAAAGCCCAGCCACCCTGGAGCTGCCCGGCCTCTGGGGCCCCCACCCTTGCCCTGCAGGCCCAGCCACCGCTGTTGTGAGGTTCTTTCTTCCTCCTGTTAATTTCCTCTCCAGGACAAGGTGCAGGTGGAAACTGCTTCCCAATGTCTGACCACAGGGGGCACAGCAGAGAGCAGCAATGAAGAGCCACTTTTCTCAGTGAAGCTGATGCTGGTTTTCATTGGTGATGGCGATTTGTTTGTTTGTAAAGACAGTATAGCCTGGAGGTTAAGACTGCAAACTTCAAAGCTGGTCTCCCCTGGATATAACGCCCTGCTCTGCCACTTACTAGTGGTGTGTCAGGGGCAAGTGTTTTAACTTGTGCCTCAAGTTCTTAGTTTTTAAGACAGGGATGATCATATTCAAACCCATGGAGCTGTTGTAACGAGCTAAGACACGTACAGCACCTGGCTGGCACTTGCAAAGCACTAAGTAAGCATGAGCTTGTTTTATACGACATTGCTCTGGGATGGCCTCAAGGGGGCTCCACAGTCAGGTACCCAAAAGCTGCTCCACTGGGATAGTCTTAGATCCGCCACCCAGGCGCAGTTACTGAGCCTCGGCCAGCGCCTCTCTATGGAATTAACAGAAGGAAACTCACTTCTTCATGGAGAAGATTCCTCGGCCTGAGGGGCCACATTGAGGGCTTCAGGATCAGTTCAGGCAGTCAGATGCAGGTGGGGAAAGGTGGTGGTCAGGATTTGGAGAGAAGGACAGACTCCCCTCCACTCCCAGGCTGACCTCATGGAGTGGGTGAGCGTCCTGGTTCCAGTAGATCAATGATTCTCAAAGTGTGGTCCCAGGACCGACAGCATTAGCCTCACCTGGGGGCTTGTTAGGCATCCTGGGGCCCCCACCCTAAACCTTTTGACTCAGAAATTCTGGTCATCCTGAGGCAGCTGAAGTTTGAGAGCTACTGCAGTAGACAGATGGAGACTCCTGATTTTGGATGAGAAATAGCCAGGTCTCCTCATATGACCCACAATTTCCAACATCAAAAATATCAGGATGCTTGATAGACAAGTGGCAGGAGGCAGCTGGGAAGATGGAGAGCAGGTGCCAAAACACTGGAACTTCTGGATCTTTCAAAGGTTCCTGGAGTTCAGGTCAGAGTATTTCAAATCAGAGGTGTACCGAAAAAAAGCACGGCCATCCATCGCTGGAATGCACAAAAGCACCACTATTATGTAAGACAAGGATGACATGTTTCATAAAAGAAATGCAGAGAGTGGTCAGAGAATCACTTCACTCTGGGGCCATCAGTGAAGACTCAGGCCTCTTTTCTGTCCTCATATTACTTGATATTTCAACAGCTTTTGATTCTCTTTGTTCCTCGGGGGTAAGCAGGATAATCAATTGGAGTTAGTGCATGACTTAGATCCGTGTTGTCCAGTTCAATAGCGACTAGCCTCATGTGGCTACTGATCACTTGAAATACAGCTGGTCCAAAATGAGAAGTGCTATAAGGCTAAAACACATACTGGATTTTGAAGATTTAGCACACACACAAAGGGCTGGCCCGGTGGCGCACTGCGCTAGTGCGCCGCTTGAGAAGTGTGGTGGCGCTCCCGCCGAGGGTTCAGATCCCACATACAGACCGGTTCCCACTCACTGGCTGAGCGAGGTGCGGGAGCAACACCGAGGGCTGCGATCCCGTTGCCGGTCCCGGTCCGGTACGGGGGCGACACTGAGGGTTGCGATC